CCTAAAACTGCTAAAACTACGGGCCTCCTTTGGTCGAATGATTATTAGGCAGTTGAATTTTCTTGCAGTAGCACAACTTCTTCACAGCCCTGGTTTGGATATAGTAGCCAAGGTACTCTCTCAATATTTCATCTGCCATTGAGCAGAGAGAAGTAGAAAAATAAAAAGCAAAAGTCAAGAGACTCCTCTGACTTTAAAGTGTCAATTTTTTTGATGAGCAAAATGTTTTCGTTCTGAAAGCAACGTTATGCTGAACCCAACCCCAGAACAGCACTTCCTTTTATGAGGTCCTGGCTTTGGGCCCCATAATGAACAGTGGGTCCTCACAATGTAAGATGCTCTGCCCATGTTGGGAAAATGGGCTTTAAAAGGGACTGTATCAAATACAAAGCTTCACACACACACACACACACACACACACACACACATACATACACAGTATTTTGGAACCTATTGTTGCTGTCCACAAAACATCTTATTTCCTACTGATGAGCCTCTGTCAGATGATCCAGAGTTCTGTCCTCATAGTTTCATTATTATGTCCCACTGAGTCTCTGGGGATGCACGAAATCCCTTTTGAAATTTCCCTTAAGTTTCAGTTTAACTAAATTAAGAGCACTTTCTGGTGTCTGATGAAATCATGCTTCAGTAATGAAAGCCAAGAGTCAGACGTTAACTTCAGTTTTGTGTTTTCCAGCTAGAAGAGATGCAAACATTTAGGAATTTTAGGATTTCACCAAGTGAAAGTAAGGTGAGAAGTATTTTCTCTCTAAAAATGTCCGCACAGCATAAATAAATGGGGGAAAAAAATTTTGACATTGAAAATGACTTTATTTGATCCATTAAGGCTGAAATGGATCAAATTTCAACCTTAATGAAATTAAGGTTCATTAAAAACCCTTTAAGCCCTACGGGTGGAAAGGGCTTTGTAAACATCCAAAAATAAATCACTAGTAGCCTCACAGTTATCAGATTAAAGTGCAAACTTTTGGTACCTCTGTAAAGGTAAGACATCAAAGAATGGTTTCCTGGTGTCAGTACTATTGTACCTTTTACCCTGCCTGAATTAAATACAATAAATTTAGCATTTTTTTACCTCACCAAAATGTTAGAAATAAATATTGCAAAACATCACTAAAATATTATTTTTCACACAAAAAAGTAGTTTAGAATTTTAAATCTACATGTTGGGTAAAAGTTCACCAAATTTGGACTCAATCAGTTGAAAAATAAAGTGTTTTATAAATATTTTACTGAGAAATGTCCCAGGTGGAGAGGTCATTTGGAGACATTTATCCAAAAATGTCTCCAAACTGTGCCAAATGTGTTTTACACATCAATACTGGGAATTTCATTAAATTACATCACTGATTACCATTGAATGACACTTAGTACATATAATATAACCATTGGTCATGACATTTACCCCATTTATATGCAAAATGTACCATTGTGCACAGTATAATCTATATAATAATGATGAACTGAATGCTATTACTTTGACTCCAACTGGAAAACTTTTATTGAAATGCAGTAAAACAATAAAAAGGAACTTTTGATGTATAGCTACCAAAGAAAAATAATAGTAATTGCATAAAAATTATGAGTGTTCTACTACAAAGTAATGAACAAATAAATATGAAATCCTTACTAGTAAAAAAACATATTTTCAGTAAAACATAAATAAATCAATGAATCAATAAAAGAATTAATTAATTAATGAAATCAAAACATTGAATATTTCGTGTAAAGTTGCGGGGGGAAAAACTTACACATCACCGCAGGGTCGCAACTACATTTTATTCAGGCGGATGCGAAGACAAAAATCGGATTCCTCCGTGCTGCAGTGAATCCGTCTCTCTTTAAAGTTATTTCCCACTTCTTCCTCACATCATGTCTTTAGGAAACCTTCAACACAAAAACGGAAGATTTAGGATGTATCTTACTTTTGACAGAGTTTAAGAATATAAATAATAGTCTTTACCACCTGTGTAAACTTTGCTGGTGAATGTTATAACACATAATATAAGTTTTATAATATATGTTACATTGTTTCATTTCTAATATAGGCTCTTGTGTCAGATAATCTAAGTCAATGTTAGAGAATAATTAATTTTTTTAGATTTAGCCTTCATAGCGGGGCTGAACCCGTATTACACCAAGCACTGTAGCTAATATTAGCTGCTATCTCGCTGGTGGATATAAATACAGTAAAGTAATATTCTAATCACAATATATACACAATAATATGTCCATCTTACTAGTGAAATGTTGTCTGTCGAGCCCTCACATCAATAGTCCATCGATCCGAACAACAATATCCCTCAGTGCTGAGGAATCTTCTGCTGTTTTGGTTGAGCAAAGTAGGAGGGTATACCGCTCCAAGATGGCCGCCGTATTTCCTGCGCCGGAGCAGCCAATACGGGGTCTACTCTTATATTATGTCTATGGTCACATATTCATGTCTATGGAGCACACGCTCTACATTTCTAAGGTGGAAGCCATAGACATAGACAGACATAGACATAGACAGTTCTGTAGAGCCTTATAATGAGTAAATGATCCAGGTGTGTTAGAGAAGGAATGCATCTAAAGCTGCAGATGGTAGCTCTGAAAAACTACTTGGGCACCCCTAGCATAAATGTATAAAAATACAATGTTAAAAATAAATTAAACACCACCTCATATTGTTAAATAACTGATTTTATGTATTAAAGTTTTAAATATTACATTTGAGTTTCCATGAATGTAAAATTACTGCTCAGTTTAAAAATTACAATAATTAAATCGGTGTTTAAAGGTAAGCAAACAAATAATAAAAACAAGTCACATGGGTAGACATGATAGACTTTACGCAAAGATTTAGTCTCAGAGGCAACTGAAATCAAATAATTAAAAAATCCTTTCTGAATATCATCTCATGGTCTCTGAACTAAATGCGTGATGAAGAGTTATGGACCGGACGCTTTGGAGCGTCTGGTTAGGAAGCGCATTACAAACCTTTTGCTGAAATGGCGTGTTAAATTCAAGTCTCCATTACAGACCAGAGAAAACTAAAAAGAATGCAACGTTGTGTTAATCCATTTGAGGAGCCGGCAGTTTATCTTGAGGAAATAAATGACGATGCAGAAGTTAATTAGACTGGAACATGCGCTGTGCGCGGGGTGAAGTGATGCTAATTTAAGTGAAGTCGCTTAATTTAATTTATTAAAAGTTATTGGGGTGGTTTTTGTCACTACGAGAAAAATGTAGATACATTTATCTGTTTAATTTGTGATGGGATCTGGATTCACGGTGAATATTAACTAAACCGCATAAAGGCGATTAAATAGCCGATGTTAATATGATTGTAATTTCACGGATAAAAGTAGTACAGGGCCGATTTTTTTTTATGTTGTCGGTCAAGATAACGGATAACAAAAAAAGTCTAGCGCGACCTGCCGCCCTGACACCAACTCACACACATCTTCATTCATAGTCTTACGTGTAAATATTTTTTTCTTTTCTTGGACGTTTTGATGTTAGCTTGTCGAAGTCTCAGTTTTATTCGCTGGGAAAATCAATAAGCAGCTTAAGGTGACTCTGCTGCTCTCTAGTGGCGAGGAGCCGTAATGCTGGCTGGTTAACAATCGGAATGCATTATGGGAGATGTAGTTTGTAGTCAATTCGTGCTCAAAACCTATTTTAAGTCAATCATGGGCCTATAAAACGCTCTGCTCAACTCTGTCATTCATTGAAATCAGTACTTTATTTTAAAACTAGAACACCTCAGAACTACTCAAAAATTCAGTTTGCTGAATTTTGCCCTTTTGTTTTTACTTACTAGTGATTGAATCTGAATTACTTTTCTTAGAGGATAAGGTGAAGATGACAATTTTTAGCCCATGCATTTCCATATAATTTTACTCAAAAGCTGATTTTAAGGAAGTCTATGAAGGAGTTTTGCAAACTTTCTCTCATAAGGAAACTAAATTGTGATCTTAGTCTTGAACACTTCATTCCAACAGTTGCTTCCATCGTCTTTCTAATTCAGGGCCGTGTTCATGCAGCTTTACCCCAGTTTGCATTTTGTGGATCCATCAAGTATAATTATAAAATCAGGAACACAATTGTGAAATCAGATTCATCAAAAGCCAGATGTTTTCCTTTTTTCCAGAAACCCAACACAAAAGGAAAGATTCTGTTGACTTTGGCTTAGTTTTTCTGGTAAGGTTGTATTTAGCTTTTTTTTTTTCTTTTTTTTTTTGGCAAAACTACAGACCAGAATTGATGTTAAAGTTCTACAAGCACCACAAACAGACTGTCTTTTGCACAATGATACAGAAATCTGGCTTTAAATATAAAGGTCTACTAAATTTAGTAAAAACTTACACCCACTGTGAACCCTACATTTTTACATTCATTCTTCATGACTTTAAATTCAAAGAGGCGTTACACTTCTGCATGTGTTTATTCATTTTTAGTGTTGTTAGTCACAAGAAATGACAAGAGTGAAATATTCTTCAATTTTATTACTCTTTTGCTTGAATAGTCGAGTAATCCATCACTGAAAAATGTAAACATTGGGTTCTTTATTGTAATTTGAAATCCAACCTACTCTGGCTGGGGTTTTATTCAGGGAGGAGGAAGCAATAAGTTGAACATTCAGCACTTTCCATCTTGTACAGAATAGGTTTGTTTATTTATAGGTTTGTTTCTACAGTTTTTTCCCTGTACTTTTGTCCTCATCGTAGTCTACCTGCTTCTAAAGTGCGTTGCTGTTCAGAAGCTTTAGGAAACTTTTTGGAAGACAGTTTTCTTTTTGAAGAAACACTCGAAAGAATAAAAAATATATAAAAAATAGGTGTATCCAGGTGTACTTTCTCCATCTTTAAATATAGATTTTTTTTTTTTTTTTTCATACCAGTGTCAGAGAGGCAAGCAGAGGAGCTGTTAAAGGCCTCTGGCTCCATTAATATCTGTGCAATGGGGACTTATTATGTAAGTCCTGAAACCTGAGAGCCAGTCACCTGTTCTGCTACCTGAGCTCAGGCCCTGGGGACGGATGAAGGACAGCTAGCCTGCACTTAGCTGAGCACTCTACTCTTATGAAAGAGGCATAAGGAGCTACTGGGAGCCACAGAAAAAAATCCCTGAAGGCTGTTTTTTTTTTTTTTTTTTTACCCCAGCTCAACTAAACCAGAGGCGTGAGTAAGAAAGTAATGAACCGGGACATATCAAAAGTTAGTGAGGTCTATAAAAGGGAGCCATCGCTGTTACACTTCTACCCAAGGATTTTATTTTCATTACTCTTGTAGCTTCCTTTTGAAGTCCTCTGTGAGCGACTTAAGCTCTGAGGTAATTTGTGTAAACATATTGACTTGGTTTGATGGATTTTACTTTCCTCACTGAACCTCTGAGGGTTGAGAGGAGCTTCCACCGAAACTTGACAAATGATCAGTGTGGACATCTCACTCCCTGACGACACGTTGTCCTCGCAGGTGAGAGCAGGACAGCTCAAACTGTGGCCTCTGCGGACGCAACTCGCTCTGTGGAGAGAAACAGCTGCTGCTTCAGGTCAGAGGCCGCAGAGAAATGATTTCAGTTTGATGGTTGGTGTCTGTTTTTAAAAGTACACAGCAAAAATATACAAAAAGGTCATCTTTGAAAATGACTTTTCTTGTGCAGCCTTACTTTAGCAAACCTGCGAGTTGTTTATTTGGTATAATCTATTTCTATTTAGACTTCATATAATAGAGGGTTTGGCTGCTAGGCTTTGGTTGCCATTTTTGTATGTTTTGTGTGCATTTTTTTTAATACACTGTTTTTTTTTTTGTATTATTTTTGACACATTGACAGAATTTGTAATCAGCCTCTGTTTGCATGTCAAATATTTTTGTGTAATGCCACTGACAACCATCAATAGATCTAGTTTAAATTCACTTTAAAGCTCCAGTTTAAGTTCATTGTTCACTTTTGAGCTGCATCATTTACAAAGTTTTGCAAACTCATCCATATCCCTTTTGTCGTTCTACAGCTGCAATAATTTTATCTTACTAATCAACAGCATCCTTGTGAATGAAAGATGGTGTTCAGTTGTTTCTACATCTAGTGACAGATTTTATTTATTGATTTTTTTTTTTTGTGGCATGTTCTTTCCATTCTTACATGCTTCACTGAACAGCCCTCCAGTAGTTGTTCAAAGTTTGGGATTTTGATTTAGAATCTAACCATGGTTTACCCTTCAACACAAATCCATCGTGACCTTTCTGCCATGTTTTGTGGTCTTCCTAATCTTCAACTGCTTTCTAACAAACGTCAGAAGACTTTTATACTAAGATACAAATCGCACACGGTTTGTTTTGTTGGACTCTTTGGGTATCAGAGTAAAGCAGACTGAATATAAATGCACGCCACACTTTTTAGAGTTCTATTTGTGGAAAAAAAAAAAAAATGCACACATTGCATTAGTTTCCCAACGCTTCCATCCACAGGTATGTGCTATTTGGCGTTGATCTATGCAGAAATTCCAATAAAATACATTAAGATTTGTGGCTGTGAAATGAGAAAAGGTTTGAGGTGTATGAGCCACAGTAAAGATTTAGGTTTTCTTCAACCCGCTGCATCTTCCTGCAGTTGCCTGCAGTCTCCATAACGGCTCCTAGTAGCCGGAGTGGGAAACAGGTGTTTCAGATAATGACACCACTAAAGACCCTTGAGCCAACTTGTGTGTTATCCTCCTGTCATTTCCAGCAGATTATAGTCCGTGTGACCACATTCCAGCAACCCATGGTCAGGATCATTACAGCATGTCTGCCTGAACTGAACAAATTGCTTTAACACAGAAACCATTATGTAACTGCTAAACTTCATAACAAGGGATGCTTACTTTGTGCAGCATGTTTTCCTCTACTATGATCCAACATCAGGTGGCTGATAATGGGCTTACAATGTTTAATATAATATGGCACTATTTTTCAGAGAGGAGGTGTTGTTTATTTTTAGATTTAGGTTTGAAAATAATGCAGTAAATGTGAACATGTTGTCTCTGTCTGTTTAATGTCTTTACAGCGATGCAGGTTCACCTCCTCACATGGAGTGCATGTTGGAGTCGGGGCATGACGACTTAATCGATTAAGCTGAAAATTACCACCAGCATTTCTGATATATTCCCCTCTTATAACATCTCTCATAACTTTCTGCCCTTATTTGTGTATTTTTTTTTTTTGCTTTTTAAGCTAATAAGAAATAAGGAACACGGCAAAAGTATTTTCTTGATCAAATAAAGCATATAGTTTGAAAAGACTAGTTTATATGAACAGCTAAATTTTGTTGTTAAAAGCATTGGGTGAGCCTTCCTAGTGACTGAATTCAGCTTTTTCAACCACTTCCAGGGCTGCAGGTGTGTGAAATCCAGTACCAAAGCATGCTGTGTGCTGCTACAAACACTTTAAAATTTGATACAGTTAATTTCACAAGGGGTACAACAATAGGATGTTAAATAAATACAAAACATTCCTCAGTCAACTATAACTAATGTGTACAGTTTAGTGCAGAGGAGATAACAGTCTCGTTTAATTTATCAGGAAGTATTCCAGCGAAAGCAAATCTTAAATCTTCAGCTTACTTATCTTGGATAATTTCATGCTCTGGTTTGGTTGGGACCAGTTGAAAGATTCATTCTTTATAATTCCAACAGGAGTTAATCTCACTCTTTTCCTGTTCTCACAAATGTCCCAAACCTTCTGGGAGGTTTTTTTCTGGAAGAGTTGAAGGAGTTACAGCTGTAAAAAGTGGCCCAACATCATAATGTAGGTGGCTTAAAAATGAGATTTATTACATGCTTACATGTCATGCTTAAATGTAAGCTATCCGAGAAAATAACCATTCAAAACATTTCAGATATTAGATATCAGATGGATGGATGGATGGATGGATGGATGGATGGATGGATGGATGGATGGATGGATGGATGGATGGATGGGCGGGCAGCTGTTTAGAGGAGTCTGTGGACTCTGATTGTTGAACATTCAAGTCGTTAAAATAAATTGCAAACATTTGAAAACTGCAACAGCTGGACTTTCAAAGTAACAAATGTCAGCGTCAAATATTTTAACTGGCTATTCAAAATCCAAAAGTTTATAATTATTGTTTTAGAAGCTCAACTTCCTTTAAAAAAAACATCCATTCTCTGTCATTTCTGGTGGGAAGGAAGTGGTTTGACAGGTTTTACAAAAATGATGTGTCGTGCGCTCATGTTGTTGAAAGTTATGCTGAAACTTTAAATTTGATATTTAATAAAGAAAAGTAGCTTGTATCTGGGGCTGTTTTTTTTTTTTTTTTAAATATTTACATTTTAGGAAACAAAGTGATATATTTGCTATTAGTTTGACTTGCTGGCTGAGGGGGAGGAAGTCCCATCCAAGAAGGAAATTAGTTTAACTGAAACTGTGAATCCATAAATGTCCATTACAGAGTTGTCTGAGCTTCCATTCCCATGTAGTTGATTCATAGTAGAACAAGCAGGATAAGCACAATTACTCTTCTTCTGTCATAGTTCTTACATTGCAATGTTCTTGAAAATACGATAGCCGGCCAAAAGCACAATTCGAATTTACTTTGACTAGATTCCAAGCCCAATTTATTCTCTGTGAACCAGACAAGTTTGCTTAAAGAGTTTATTAGAAACTAAATTTACTGACTGATACAGGACAGCAGTAGTCTTACGAGTTCATTTGAGGATACTGTTGATCACCACCAGGATTAAAAAGGACACAGTGGATATCATTGAGTGTGGTCAAAAAAACGAGCAGCATCTTTGATACAAGAGTTTGAAATATTCAAGCTTTGGTTTCATGTTCATCTGCCCATCAATCCATCCATCTTGTCCTTGCCAGGTCACAAGGGTGTTTGTGCTTATCTTCAATGACTTTTGGACAGAAGGTGGGGGATATCCTGAACAGTTTACTGAGCTTTATTTTAATGAATCATCCAAAATTCGTCTGCAACTAGGCCTGATGAGCTGCCATGAGCTGAGTAGCAGAAAGCCGGAATGAGGGAGCTTTTATTTTTATTTTTGGATCGTGATGAGTGGGAATGAGCTATGAGTTCTGAATAAATATGGAATGATGAGCTGGAGTAAATAATCAAATATTGAAGTGTTGGCAGAAATAAAGCTGTAGATATTTCATCACAGGAGGAGAGTTGATAACAAATTTGGCACTTTTTCAGGTGCATCAACTTGATTTTTACATTATTGTGCGCTCTGACCAGCTTGTTAAATGGAAGGAAGTTTTGTGTTCGGTGAGAACTGGAAAGGCTCTGCGGCTCTTTGTAGGTGTCGCTGTTTGTTGATTTTCAAAGCTAATTTATTTCTTTTAACAGTGTGCTAGTTTGCCTGAGGTGCTCACCAGAAAGGGTAAGGAATAATTTCCCAGAAAGTTGTTAAATGTTTCTCCAAAAACCCCATGGATGTTTAGTTCCATGCTGAGATAAGTTATTCTATACTTCAGGTTGCAAATGACTTTCCCTGAAAAAAAAAAAAAATTAAATGCTTTACTGTCCACACAATTCTCTTGGTGAAACATGACGGTCCCACCTTCAGACGTTGGGTAAACGTCTCTCAAGGGTAAGGAAAACTGGTCAGAACTGATGGGAAGAAACAATAGTTAGAGGCAAAGGTTGGGTAATACTGGCTTCAAGAAAAGCATTTTCAGATGGTAGAAAGGCCCTGATAAAGCTGACTGGTGGAAATGCAAACTAGCTCTGCAGTGGCAGCAGAGGACTGGGTTTAGTTTTTTTTTTTTTTATGTGGGCTTTCCTGACAACTGAAGTAAGAAGTTGAAATATGACAGAAACTGGAGACTTCATCAGAAAATCAGGATTTTATTTTATTATTATTATTATTTTATAAAGAAAATTTTCCCCTATGCTCTCCTTTGTCATGGAAACACCAATTGAAACAAAAATATGTTGTGCGAAAGAGTGTGTAATAGGTCCCTGTAAACACATAAAAACACCTACGAGCTTTGCGTCTTCAGCATGTCTACTGTTTTTTAGTTGCATAATCTTTCATTTTGCAAAGATATCATTAGAAAAAAAATGTTCTCTCTTTTTTTTTCAGAGTGCTTAATAAGGACATCAATGCTTCGCTGCACAAGAATGTCCAGTCATCTGGAGTGAGGTGGGGGCAAGAGACAGAGGAGAGCTGGTGGGAAGGAAGTGATCCTTTGGGGGAGTTTTGACCTGGTGTGGCAGGAAAAGAGGGATTTTCTCCTTTCACTCATCCATTTACAAGGAGTGTTTTTAGCCAGCCTCTGACATTATTCAGCTACGCTAGAATAATCTGAAGAGCTTCATCCTAACCACCAATGAGGGTCTCGGACGTCCAGCTGGATCCTGCTGTCTTCATGTCAAACAGTCCAAGACAAGTCCGCTCACCAGCTAACGGATTATCAGTAGCAGATCCAGGAGTGATGAAGGTACAACTTGTTGGATGCAAAACAAACTGTTCAGAGAAGGAACAAAAACAGGGAGTGACAGATTCCTCAGGAACGAAACCGTCTTCCTCAGAGCTTTCCTACAGGGTGTGCATCCATCGTGAGATGCCTCTGAGGTCTTGTAGCTCTGCCGTGTTTTTGGACAAGTCGCTTTGCATTTCGCTCGCAGAACTTGCAGCAGGAACAAGAGGAGTTCAAGCACCTCTGCACAGGTCTGCCCTGACTTGTCAGCTCGGTGAGCAATCTCTCTTTGGATCCGCCGTAGATAAGAAAACAGCCAAAACAAAGGAGGCGTACAGAAGAGGTAATTTCAACAGGTGCAATGGCCAAGAGCAGAGACCGGATCACAGGGGGAGCCCTCTATCAAAGCGCCGTGGATTCAGGGCCAATCAAAAGGCACCTGCTTGTGGCGCCAACAGTAAGGATGATGACTCAGAAAAGCAGCACCGCAGCACTTCTTTGGGATTGTCATTCAGAGAGCCATCTGCCTCGAACACAAAGGCTGCAAAGCAGAAGGGGAATGCAAATAAGGCAGCCGTCTCTGCTTTGAGCAATTTCAGGCACATGCAGCACACGTTCACTTATGGCCCAGGTATGAATTTCGCCACCTTCAGCTGAAAATTCAGAGTAGTCGATCAGCAAGCACACGTTTCTCGAACATCCTAAAACGTCAAGGAGCATATTTATGTGCCAGGCTGGTCTTACAGTGTGGATAATCTCTTTATATATATATATATATATATATATATATATATATATATATATATATATATATATATATATTTTTTATTTTTTTTTTTCCCTTTCTGCTTCTCACCTCTTACTTTTTTTTTTTTATCTCATGCATTGTTAATAGACCCACACACACCTTCCACACGGTTTCCACTGCGATTTTACATTGTTTAAGATAAATCCCAGTTGGCAAAGAAACATGCTGAGCTCAAACAGAGTTAAATAAAGTGCAAACACATCCCTTTATACGTCTTGACTTTCTAGACTGAAATATAACACGTGAAGATAAGAAATGACTGCTGCATTGAAATGACATTGTACTATTTCAGAATGGACTCACAGACATTTATACCGAAAGCACAAGGAAACGCTAGAGGCTTACATGTTTTGTTGAACATTCCCCAGGAAAAACGTAAAAAGCTGAGTAAGCTTAAAGCTGAATGCCTGATGTCCTTAAACGAGATGGGAGAACTGTGTTTTACATAAATATTGAAAGAATTGGTAAAAATACAGCTTAGCAGAAATGTTACTTTGTGGCATTGATCATGAACCAAGTGTGATCCTAACCGTGAAACCATGCTTAGAGCTAACTTGTTCACAAATACAGTTAAAACAGGACAATGTTACATATTAGGGGACTAAAAATACAAATAAAACAAAATAATAATTACACTGAAATTAAATAAGTTTTGATTTGTAACTGGCTTATAATTGTACCAAGAAGCAAAAGTAAGGCAAAACATTCTGACTATATTCCAATGTGTATTAGAATATTTGGCAAACAGTAACAGACATTGTCAAATTTTAATAAACTTGGGCTTTGAAGTTTAATTATTTGAAAGTGATAAATAAAATCACAAAAAAATGAAAGTTATGTCTGAAAGTTAAATTTCAGTCATATGCTAATTTATTCTTTTCATGTCTAAAGATGTTGATGTAGATTTACATCCATCCATCCATCCATTTTCTGAACACCCTTGTCCCTCAGTGGGGTCGGGAGGAGTGCTGGTGCCTATCTCCAGCTAACGTTCCGGGCGAGAGGCGGGGTACATCCTGGACAGGTCGCCAGTCTGTCGCATAGATTTACATCAAAATACAAAAAAAAAAAAAAAAAAAATCCAGAAAGCATTTCTTGTATTTTGCTTCCCCACAACTTGGAATCAAAATGGATTGTTTTATGGTTTGCAGCATTTCTTTTACAGAACATGTCTACAACTTTGGATATTTCATTTTCTTTTCATTGTGAAACAAGCAACAAGTAGGACAAAATACCAGGAAACGTCTGTGTGCATTACTATTCATCCCCTAAATTCAGTACTTTGTAGAGACATTTTTTTCCTTCATGATGGCTCTTGGTTTTTACTCCTAAAACATGACCACAAATTTTCAAGTAAATTGAGGTTTAGGCTTTGACTTTACCATACATTTACACATTTCCCCTTTTTACTACTGGAGTGTTGTTTTAGCAGTATACTTTGGACTTTCACTAGGCTCAGTTAGAGTATTGAGTTTTAAGGGACTATGTTTTTACAAATATGTTTCCTGACACAAGTACATTTTTATCCAGGTCCCATATTTTTCTGTTTTTGATTTGTTTGTAAAGTTTAAAAAAAAAAAATATGTTAACCTTTTAGTTTAGTTGTTGACTCTCTCAATGTTTACTTTATAAAAAATAAAACAACATACTTTATGGATGCAATAGGCATAAAACAAGATAAGCGCATTAGGATGTAGATGTAGAGGTGTAAATTAACAATGATTATTTGATCTGAGCCAAGATTACATAATGGACTATAAACTAATTTATGAAACCTTCCAGTAATGATGGCGAAGGCTGCAGCAGAAAGGACCTGCCCTTTCATATTTGCTGTCTCATGAAAAAACATCTGCAGCACACAATACTTTTTAATTATTAAAATGTCTCAGCTCTCTGTGGGACGTGTAAGTTTTTTATTATTTTTTTTTTTTTAGGCATTTACTTTGTTGCAGTAAGTATAGCATATAACAAAAGCTTGACCAGTGACACCACATGCTGGTGATGCAGTCCAACAAAAAAAAAAAAAAAAAAACAAGCTAAATGATTACTGCAGGGTATTCAGCTGAGAGATATATGTTCTAAAAAAAGGGGACAAGAAAGAGGTTACGGGAGCAGAATAAATGCAATGCTATCTTTTACATTATTCATTGGCCACGCTCTTGTTCCCTCTGGATTGTTTTTACTCCTTATGAGTTGTGGGGGTAGTGTGTGTTTCTGCAAGCATGGGAGTGTGCTGGGTTCACTTTGAGGTCTGTTCTTCACTGTTTTACTCAAGATAATGAAAGCTTCGCTAGAAACTCATGGCCACTGAGAATGAACCGAACAGGCGGAAAAGCAACAGCAAAACCACTGCATTCAGATGCTTCTAAATTCCTATTTGTCACAAAGTTGATTGTGCTTTTTTATGCTTCTTAGAAATTATATTTTCCCTGTATTTCTAGTATTGAGTGATGTAACATTATTATTTTTTTTCTTTTTCTCCCTAGTAGATTCAGGGAGCATGATGAGCAAGCAAGGAGAAAGTCAAAAGACAGATGAAGAACAAGAAGGTGGCAAATCCACAGAACCTCAGATAATTTCCACTTGTCGTCACCGTTCACCACTGAAGAACGATTCTGTGGGAGGCATTCTTAAAACCCTGAGCCTGAAAGTATGAGTCACATTTCTATGCTTTATTTTTCCTCAAGAATTCTCTTTTAAAGTAGCAAAAATATAAAATACCTTTCTCGAGAAAAGTGACTAAGAACATTCGGCATTCTAATGGAGTAGAAAACTGGAACTGTGAGGATTTGTTGAACAAAACTGTTGACTTATCGACAGGAGAATTTCATGAAAGAAGCACATTTTATACCCTTTTTCTGAATAATGTGTATTTTAAAAATATGGACACCAAACACATGGCATCCATTTTTTTTTTTTTTTGGCCTTTTATTTAAAGTGTTCAGACAGGAAAGTAGGGTATTGAGAGAACGGGAAGACATGTGGCAAAGGTCATTAGGCCAGGAACCGAACCTGAGACGGCTGTGTCGAGGACTAAGACTTCCTTATGTGGGTTGTGCTTCACCCCTGCCCCACCACAGCACTTCCAGCATTAATGGTTAAAACTGTGTCATGCTCCCGTTTAATCTGTTCAACTAAATAACAGATATTTTATCAAAAGACAAAAGTTGCAAAAATTTTAATCATGTCAATTCTGGGTCTTAAAAAATCTTATCTCCATGTTTTCAACAGTAGATTTAAAAAACAAAAGTAATAAAAGTTGCTTTAAAAGTTGCACTAAAAGTTTATTAAAAGTGTCAACTTTGCATTATTTGGTAAGTAATGACACTTTAATGCAAAGACGGCGCTGTTAATTGACTTTTAATGCAACGTTTAAAGCAACCTTGCATTAATAGTGTTATCATTTACCAAATGTCACTTTGTGACAACAGTCATAAACATTCATAAATACTTCTTCATGTTCATAATAGGTGGTATGTCATGTTTATGACAGTGTCATGTCAGTTTTATGGTCACTCCTTCAAATAAAGTGCAGCTGCAAAGAGAACAATTCATAATTTTACGGGTGTTTTCCTTTCCAGGAGGCGTTAGAGCTTTTCAGACCAGACTTCATCAGCCGATCTCAGGGTCGGGTCAGACACTTGGAGCAGAAGGCCAGGAGAAGGAAAGCTCTGCAGGACTCAAATTTAGCCCTGGGCCTAACAGAAGAACAAGGCAAGCAAAAGAGGCACTGCACTACACCCGACCCACTTAGTGGTAAGTACAGCCGAATCAGAAAAAGCAGAAATAAGCCATTAGGAAGTAACGCAATGTGTAACTAGTAAACAGACTCAGTTTTAGTCAGATCATCAGTGTTGACAGAAGTATTCAATCAGCTCTTGATCATATGAAATTGTTATCCCAGGACTTTCTGCAATAAAGAAGTACATGTGATGCATCAGTCCTGGTGACGATAGATAAAAAAAAAAAAAAGATATATAACGTATTCAGAGCAGATGCTTTCTTTTCCTCTCCTACATTCATCTTTTATCATGTTACATCACTTTTGCAGACATGGGCACATTTGTCAAATTCCTGGACTGCTGGGTCAAGTGCTCCTACGTCAGCAAGTGCATTTCTGGAGAAAAACAGAAACCGTAACGAATTAATAATAAACCTGTGAACACGTCATGGCATTTCTTTTACCAATTGGTGGAACGATGCACTGTTTATTTAGTAATCATCTTTAATTTCATTGTCTCAGCAGGCTTGTTCATAAAAAAGGGAATAGCACGTGATCCCCTTGTTAGTGGAGCAGCATTTCACCGACTTTGCTCTCTGGTGGCCATCATTGAGTACTACAGAGGAGCTAAAGAATCTTGAATAAATTCAGGTTGGCCAGATAATAAAAAAATGTGAAATGAATAAAGAAAAAAAATAAAATAAAGCCCTACAAAGAGGAAACAATTCAACTGTACAACTTAAAATATTTTTTGATTTGGTTTTTTGACTCTTGAAAAAGTAGTTCTTCAGACTTTTATTGCTTTTTGGTCATCGTTGTAACTAATTTAAATTAGCCTACAATCCACCCATCCATCCATCCATCCATCCATCCATCCATCCATCCATCCATCCATCCATCCATCCATCCTGCTTATCCGACCCTGGAAAAACAGAAGCAGGGAACAATAAGCTTATAGTTTTTTATGTGTCATGAAGGAGAAATGAAAGCTTATTGTCCAATTATACCTTGATGTTTTCACTTCACTTTCAGTCTGACAGAATTGACAGGACCAGAACTGGATCTGCCAGTACAAAAAAGTTATGGTGCGTGCGTGCGTGCGTGCGTGCGTGCGTGCGTGCGTGCGTGCGTGCGTGCGTGCGTGTGTGTGACAGTGTCTCAGTGTCTCTGTGTCTCTGTGTCTGTGGGTTTTTTTTGTGTCAGTGGACTAATGGAGGACGGTGCTACAGTCTAAACTGGAAAGCTCATCCACCAGTGTGTATTTACATATGCAAGCTTGATTTCCATATTAATTCCTGTTTGTTATTCCTGTGTGCTTGTTGGGCTGTGGATGTGTGTGTCCTAGATAACCTTTTCAAGCCGAGAGAGCGCTCTATATCAGGCAGAGAGATGCAGCTCAGGTCCAGACGGTGAGTCCTCTAAACTAACCCCTTCTCAAAGGGAGTCGTGTGGGGTTTTCATTCTCGTTTTCATAGTGCAGTCGATCCCATCAATACACACACACACACACACTCACACACACACACACACACATGCATGCATCCACATGCTGTTGACACCCAACAAATTTGATGCTCAAATGTCTTGGCAGAAGATATGAGGTAACCTCTACATCTTATCTCTCTCTCTCTCTGCTTATCTGGTAAAACACGCCTGATCTGTTGAAGGTTTCCCATTGTAATTTTTTTTTTTTTTTTTCAAAAGCAACACTATCTCACTCGGTGGATCTCCTGAAGAAAAAAAAATGGCAGTAGTTCTGCACGTGATAAAGGGGAGTGTGTGTTTGCAGAGTGTTTATCTGTGGATCCAGGTGTTTTTTTTATTTTTTATTTTTCCAGACTGTAGTCTTACTTGATAACACCTTGTCTCCAAGACACCAGTGTGTTGGCATGGCTCAGTCACCCTTAGATTTCTGATAGTATTTTCCTCTGCCCTGTATGAATTTTCTTTTTTTTTTCTTTTTTTTTTTTCTTTTTGCGTCTGAAGGATTTACAACAAGCTGCCGGAGGTGACAAAGAAAAAGGAGGAGGAGAAAAAACGGGCTATATCTCAAACCAACAGACTGCGAGCAGAGGTCTTCAAAAAGGTAAATGGGATCAACGTGATACTCTGATAGGATGTTGGATTACAAGCACATCGGATTGATCAGCTGGGAAGTCAACGATTGTTTGAGCCCAGTCTGAGAGAAAATAAAAAGACAAAATAGATTAATGCATCAGTATATTCTATTATTTTTGACATAAGCAGCTGACGTACTCATCACGTGCGTGGGTCTTTATTGCCTCTTTTTCTGTCACGAGAGTTTGGCTTTGAAATAACTTTCTACAACTTTTCTACTTCCAGAGTGGAGAGATGACACCGCAAACAATTTCAATCCATTTTCGAAACAAGAGCTGAATTATCATAGATTCTTATCAGGGATTTTTGGAGCCCTAATCAGATTTTAATTCAGGGGCCTTCATACCAACATGTCAAAAACAGATACTTCATCATTCTGAGGCTACACTATGGCTGTAGCATATCTACTATTTTTGGTGCAATTTGTAATCTGACAACATGATACTGGTATTACTTTGGCTATTGATTTTAACCTTAAAGGACAGGAGTAGCAAACAAGGAAAAATATTCTTTGCAACTTCTGCAAACAAAAGCTTTACAGTGAACCAGTCAACAAGACTAACATCTTTTTTTTTTTCTTTTTTTTTTTAATTTGGAACAGGTATGTGAAATGTGCCAAAAGTGCAGTATTTCACTACAAAGTAAAATCATATGATTGTCTTCGGGGGCCCCTGGTGGTGTTGGGGAGCTGAGCAGCCGCTTAACTTGCATGTACCTTAGGCCAGCTCTGTTTCACACTTTTTTTTTATGTTGAATCATATAATTATTTATATATATATANTTTATTCTTTATTCAGGTTGAGGTTCTGCAGTTTGTCAAAGATCAGCTGTGATTTTCTGGCCTCAGCTCTGAAGTCCAACAGCCTCCATCTGACAGAACTGGACCTGAGAAACAACAACCTGAAGGATTCAGATGTTCAGCAGCTGAAGCGTTTTGTAAAGACTTTACAGTAAGTAAATGTTTGTAGTGAGTCCAGCTGCTGTCAGCATATTGAACTAAACCCAGTTAGCATCAAAGCAAAGCTCCAGTGTTCCCAGTAAAGCTGCAGCTTCTCAGTGGGAGGAGAATGGTTCAGGCTTCCTGATTGGACACAGAGACAGCAATCAGCCAATCAGGTGAACCTGATCAGCTGATCAGGTTCATCTTGGTCACAGCTCTGAGATCAGTCTGACTGCAGCCTGGAAACCATCTACTGGATGTGCTGCGTCACTGACTGCTGCTGGAGAGGCTGGAAACACTCACTGATCTGATCTCTCCTTCCTTCTTCTCTCTGCAGGTTCTGATCTCTGTAAAGTAGAGAACGGTCTCTGTGTCCTGCTGATCCTCAGAGGTTGAAGCTGCAGCAGTTTGAGTCTAAAGAGACTCTGACTGGATCCTGATGATGACCTCTGACCTCCAAGATTTTCCTCCTGTTTATTTTCTCATGTCTGTCATTTAGTGTCTGATATTGTTTGTCTCTTTGGATCAATAAAGATCCGATTCAAACTGGGCTCCATTTAGAGGCTTCATCTGAACTGGATTCAACTGGAAAGTTGATCTTTTTTTCTTTCTGATTCATTTTAATCAGAAATATGAAATAAAACTCAACATTTTTCTGCATGTTTGCTTCATTCTGATTTTGAACTTCCGGTTGGACTGCAAGATGGAGTAGACGCTTTTTCTGAAGCTCCCACCTCTAACGTTACTACTTTACTAATTTTCACTTTGTGCTTGTTAAACTATTTGTAACAATATTGCTGCACTGGAACGGCGACCAGTAAGTCAGAGGATGACCAGCAGAACAAGAAAAGAAGAGCAGAAAAAAGACGAGGGGAACGTCATGGCTGTGCTAACGGCTACGCTAGCTGACCACAGAAAATCCCTATCAGCGGAATTCAATGCGGCGTTTACTAAACTGGAAACAAAACTGGAGCTCTTTGAGTCTACTATTTCTACCCACCACCAGCGAATCTCTTCACTGGAGAATGTGGCCACTACCATGAGCGATGACATACAAGCAATCCAAGCCGAGCTAGCTACGATAACCGGAGAGAATAACAGACTAAAAGCTAAGCTAATGGACCTTACCAAGCCCCGCCCAGAAACGCCCAGTTGACTGGATTGAGCTGGTTGCCTTCTGTTAAGTGACCACTCTGATTTTGGGAGGTGGAAAATGTCAGTCTAAAATGAAGGAAGCCTCGCAGGGGATAGAGGATGCCCTGCTGTGCGATGGACACGTACATTTTGTTTTTTTTCTTTAAAGGGGTCTGAGTCCAGATGTGTATGGTTTTTTTTTTTGTTGTGGCATGGATGTGAATGTGTGTGTGTGTTTTTTTTCTCTTTCTCTTTCTTTCGTCTTCTTTCTTTACAGTTGTTGGCCAACTATATACCAGGTACCAGTCTCCTCTCAGCAAAGTCGGACTGCCATACCGCAATGTACGTATCTCTTCAGGAAAAGTAAGGGACGACTAGCACAGGGAAGAATTTGAGGGTTGTTTCGTGGAACATGAGAGGCTTGGGGAATGCTACTAAGATTGCTAAAGTTATGTTTCATTTGCAGCAACTTAAAGGGGACATATTCTTTTTACAAGAAACACACCTTCGTAATAGAGAAATTATGCGTCTTAATAGAAGTTGGATTGGCCATGTATTTCACTCTAGATTCAATGCCAAGGCTAGAGGAACAGCCATACTTATTCGGAATAATGTTATGTTTGAACATCACGAAACAGTAGCAGACATGGAGGGGCGTTTCATAATTGTGTTGGGCAAATTGCAAAGTTGTCCGGTGATACTAGCTTGTGTCTATGGTCCAAATTGGGATGATGATTCCTTTGTGTCTAGACTTTTTTCTTCTATGCCTGATATTGAAAACTACTATTTAATCCTAGGGGGAGACTTTAATATGATCCAGGATGCCCTTTTAGACAGATCCTCAAAAAAAACAATCTCATTACCTAATGCTGCTAAAAGTCTTAATGTTTTTAAAACTGAGTTGGGATTGGTGGACCCGTGGAGACATGGGAACCCGACACTTAAGGAGTTTTCCTTCTTTTCCCATGTCCATCGTACCTATACACGCATAGATTTTTTCCTTATTGATGTCAGACTACTTCCTAAAGTAAAAACCTGTTATTATCACACCATAGCTATATCCGACCATGCGCCAGTCTCCTTAGATCTAGAATTATGTCAATCTCGCTGTTTCAAATTTTGGAGATTTAATTCTATACTGCTCACAGAAGAGGACTATAAACAGTTTTTAAAAAAATCAGCTTCCACTTTACTTTGATCTTAATGATCTACCTGGTATATCGAGAAGCACCCTCTGGGAAGCTTCAAAAGCGTATATAAGAGGTCAGCTTATTAGTTTTACCTCTAATTTGACGAAGAAGAGGTCATGTTACACCAATGACTTGCTGAACCAGATTAAAGATGTGGATTCTAGATATGCAGCCAACCTGGATCCTGACCTTTATAATGAGCGTGTAAAACTCCAAACTGATTTCAATTGGATTACATCTACAAATGCTCTACTTCAACTAGCCAAGACAAGGCAGCGCTTTTTCGAATCTGGCGACAAAGCCGGGAAGCTTTTAGCTTTCCAAGTGTGAGCTCAGGCTACCTCCAAATTAATTCCATTCATCAGATCAGACACAGGGGAGATTCTTTTTGATCCCAGAAAAATAAATGATAGATTTCTGTCATTCTATTCTGAACTATATACCTCCATAGCCCCCCCTTCAGCACACGATATACTTAATGATATCGGCTTTCCAAGGATAGATTGTGAATTGGGGAGAGGTCTTGGCGGGCCCATCACTATAAGAGAAGTGCAGGATTCTATCAGGTCCTTAAGTTCGGGCAAATCCCCTGGGCCTGATGGTTTCTCTTCAGAATACTATAAGGCCAATGTGGACCTTCTGGCGCCAGTACTGACAGATGTGTATAATGAGGCCTTCTCTAGCGGACGCCTCCCTAGCACCTTTTCAGAAGCTACTATATCGCTGATTCTTAAGAATGATAAAGACCCCTCCCTTTGTAGTAGTTATAGACCTATTTCCCTCCTCAATGTAGATTTTAAGATCTTATCTAAAATTCTTGCAACACGTCTCCAGCGAGTACTTCCCCGCATTATCTCATTAGATCAGACAGGCTTTATGACTGGGCGACAGTCATCCCATAACACCAGACGTCTTTTAAATATTATCCATACTCCAAGTACCTCATCACCTGAAATAATTGTATCTCTTGACGCCGAGAAGGCGTTTGATCGGGTCGAATGGGGTTTTTTATATGAAATAATGGAAAGATTTGGTTTTGATAACGATTTTATCCTCTGGGTTAAGCTGTTGTACTCATCGCCGGTGGCCTCAATTAAAACTAATGACATGGTGTCCTCACCCTTTCCTCTTGGGAGGGGCACTAGGCAGGGATGCCCTCTGTCTCCCTTGCTGTTTGCCATCGCAATAGAGCCTCTGGCCATCTGGTTGCGTGCTGAGGAGGGTTTTAAGGGAATTCTGAGATCTGGTGTAACCCATAAAGTGTCCCTTTATGCGGATGATTTGCTCTTGTACATTTCTGATCCTCATACTTCTCTTCCAGTGCTTTTTAACATTCTAGAACAATATAGCAAGCTTTCAGGTTACAAGCTCAACTACCAGAAAAGCCAATTATTTCCCTTGAACTCTCTGGCAAGGAACCTTCCGCATTCAATCTCACCCTTTAAATGGGCAGAAGCAGGGTTTCGTTATTTGGGGATATTCATCTGTGCTTCTATGTCTAACATGATGAATAAGAACTTCTCACCGTTATTAGAGAGCAAGATATCCCAATTTTTGTGTCTTAAAAAACCTGCAGACTTCGCAAATCAGTGTTGCAGTCCCCAACTCTTAGGGTGGACCTGCTCTTCCCAACTTCAGGCAGTACTACTGGGCAGCTAATGTACAGAAACTATTATATTGAGGGTGTGATGCCGAGGCTTCACC